GTCAGATCTTGGGAATTAAGGGGAGAGAGAAACGTGGGATATATGGACACCTTTAATTAAGGAGTAAAAAACTGCCAATTAATTATACCTCTAAATTAATTATGGTATATAAATGGCAATTTGATATGCTGAAATGTAATTAACTCAAACCTCAAACATTGAGGGTAATAAGGTTTCATATGCGGTATAGGAAGATAAAAATCCCATTCTGTTTTTACCTTGAATATTCTTGTGGCCCATACTAATAAAAGGCCACCATAACAAAATAGGTGGCCCAATGATGATGACAAATAACATTTCTACTGTTCTATAGAGTCTTCTACCACACGCCAGTGGTCCACATGGAAAGCCCACTATCGCCTACATAGTTTAGAAAATCTTAAAACATAATTTCACTTTAAAATTTTAACACTCCTGTAACTAAACTTTTTTTAAAAAAAATCTATGTCTATTTATGTATTTTCATCAAGTTTTATAGTATCATAGATTCATAATTAATTATTCACGCTAAACTTTTTAGTGCATTTTTGTTGTAATGATTCTGTGTATAATCATAGTGTGAGAGTTTCGTCGAATTTGCCCAAATTATTAGTAATGTAAATTTTAGGATTAGTTACCTTCTATAGCAAATGTTGATACCTTATTTATTTTAGATAAATACTCTTTTTAAAAATTATATTCCATAGCTACCTTTTGATTTTTTATAGCCAAATATCTATTTACTAATATCTATGAACGTGCGTTGCACGTTAATAATGGCATGTGATGATTTAAATATTTATTTATATGGAGGATAAACAATGTTTAATTCTTGAGAAAAATATGTATAATAATACAACAATCATCTAAATGCCAAAAATTGTTATTACATTAGTATAGTACGTGAATTCAAAATGAAAGGACATCATCAGAACTTACACAAATGATAAATTTAGTCATGTTAGTTAGATAATTATGTATTACAGTTTGAAAGTATTTAATGTTATGTTATCTTAACGAACACTTCTTTGTATACATTTTTTTATGTATGTTTCCGTTAATTTCTTTAGTTGGCCTGCCATAACCATCACTCCTTTTGTCGATATTGATATCCCTCTTGAAAGTGCAACATATAGTTGTTCATGTAATAAAACATATTGCGGTAAAAAATATTCAATATTTAGGATGTTTCTCATCGTGTTTTATTTATTATAATTGCAAAACAAAAATATATTGAAAATTATTTGCACAAAATTTAAAAGGATATTCTTTAGTTTCGGAAGACGAAAGTTGAATTTGGGGATAAACACATATTTAGAAGTACGTTGACCAGTATTTTAATTTTTGTATGTATGACGTTATTATCAAAATTTCTAAATTCCATCAATGTGTTATTAAATAAGCTATTCAGCATATCTAAAATTTTTAGTAGTTGACAGGTAAATTTTTCTTCAAAATCAATCTATATGCAATTGAAGATCAATTTTAGCTTAGTCTATTATACATATGGTGAAACTAACATACGTAAGAAATAATGAACTTGACAAACAAACATGCATGGTAGAAGGCCATTTTATATTAAAGTATTAAAGTATTCTTCTTGGTAGTAATGGTTGGTATCATCTTCTGTTGCGTCAAAACTGGGGAAAAAAATTATTTTTACCGTGAAACTTAGCAATAAACATTTTATTTAGTTGATCAACATATTCATTTCTGCTAATAGCTCTTTAATTTCTATCATCTAATTTGCACAAATTGCATTTTAATCTAATGATGGAAATATTTTCCTTATTAAATGCACTACTATTACAATTGGGGTTGATAACCAAGTGTTATGGAAGAACGAAATCATGTTTTATTTGATGCTCTTCTTCGTTTCCGATACGAAGCAAGAAGTCACTGAATGTTGGATATGTTATTACTTTTATATCTCTTCTCAGTTGAATTTTTTCCATTTGAGGCCATACGTATAATTTTGGCAAGCTAGCTTTTAGAGTCTATAATTTCGTCGATTTTGGAACTACTGGTAGTACTTGACAGAAATCATCTCCTAAACTATTACTTTTCCAACAAATGGTTCATTGATATCCAATGTATCTTTAAAAATACTGGTCAATTGTTTCTATCGTTTTACGCTTAGCCATAAGCGCTTCATTACATATTATAAATTTTACTTTCCTTATAAATTTAGCACCATTGCTATGCTTTGATATATTTGTGATGACTATTTCAGTTGTTTGAAGAGGTATATCAAATCTAGTGAGTTGTACAACCGCATAATAAAATTGTTGTTCGTACACCACTTTTTATTATTGCTAACAGTATCACGCCTCTTGATCTAACATTTGCAAGTAATGCATGATATAGGAATATTATTTTGATTCCGTCGAGACATCTATAAAGAATAATCCTGCAATACCAGAGTCTACTGTTTATAATATAGTAATGAAAGCTTGTCCTTGTTCAGGATTTAGCTCTGATTGTGCTTTCTCAGACACTTGTATAACTTTTTGATTCTTAATACTATACTAACCCCTTTTTACTTTGTGTTCTAATTTTTTTAATCTCTAACGCTCTATTATGGAATAAATTTATGTACCCAAAACTTTTTTTTAACTTGAAAAATAATTTTATTCATTGATGAATTTAAAAAATAATTGTATTGGATTCTCTTACCAAATAATTAATTAAAAGATTTAATAATTTTGATCTTAACATAAAAATTAACTTACTTTATTTTGAATCGAATTCTTTATATTAGTTCATCTCTTGTTTTGAATATGTAATTGTAATTATAATTTTATCTACTATAAATTTTATTTTTAAAGAGTATCGATCTAACATTTCAATTGTAGATCTTTATGTTTCCAGAATCAGTGGTATTGGCTCTTATCAACTATTTATCTTTTTCTTTTTCACACATGTATATTCTTCAATATTTTCTTATTCGTTTTAAGATAATTGGGTATATTTTTAATATTATCCAAAATTTGATATAAAAAAATATTATTTGAGTAGGAAAGTAGTTCGAATATAAAATAAAAATTATTATTGTGGAGATATTTTTTTCTCAATTCCAATGCTTTATGCAGTCCATTTAACATTACTTTTATTTTTTTGTATTGGACATTATGGAGTGGGTATATATTACCAATACGGAGGATTCTTATGAAATTAATTTGTTAAACCTTTCACACATATTATTAATAAGAATTTAATAGATAAAATTTTATTAATTTTAAAATCTTAAATATTAAAAAAGTCGAACATAAAAGATATTTCGGTCCAAAAATAAGTTATTACGGTTATGTCCTTTCCCAAAAAGTTATGTTGTTTAATATTTTAGGGTTATTTTAGTCTATCAATATTGTATTCATACTTTTATAATATAATACAGGCTCTCCTTTTTCTAAATAAATTTGGACAACATAATACATTCTCAAATCAAATCAGTAGTAGGACAATATAAAACGTTTTAAAATTAAATTAGTAATAGGTACTTTTAAGAAGTATATCCTAAAAGTAATAGAATTACATGGCTAAAAATACGTCTATATTCTGAAAGTAATTATAGCAATAGGAAACTTAACGTATTCTTAGAGATATTAGGTTTACATGCTAATATGTAGTATTAATTATATGTCTATGCCCAAAAATAATTATACATGCTTCCTAAAGATAATCATGAAGGATTCCTAACGTGTAGTATTATGTCCTAAAACTAATAGAATTACAAGAGTTATGTCTGGAATTCCGGTTATGTCCTTTTATTGTGAGTTATTATAGTTAATATTATAAGATTATTTTTGTAAACCAACATTGTATTTCATGTGCCATGCACATGTAGCCCCAACTACTATTGTTAATTTTATATGTACAAGATAATAAACTTTCGCAATACACAATTTAAACTATTAATATTTCTTGTTGGTGTAAACTTTCATTAATAAAATTTTTGCCTTTAAAATATCAATTTTTTACCCTTTGAAAAAATTTATAGTTGGATAAAATTATCATTTAATTATTTTCATAATATTAGGATTTTGAAATCAATTGAAATTTCTATTAAATATTTCTTCGATTTGAATTATGTCGGAAATTCCTAAATATTAGGACTGTGCAATCAATTAAAAATTTATCTTATACAAATTTTTCCCTGTTTGACTATATAACTAACTATCTCTTATATTAATTTTATCTTATATTTATAACTTTTTGAAATCAATTAAAATTTTTATAAATTTACTCTTAGAATTTCTTAGGACATGCAGAATCAAAAGATTTTGTTCGGGTTTTCGTAAAAGATTTAACCACTGCAATATGTACACACAAGAAGTTATAATTGTTCTAATTTGTAACAGATTCTAGCGGATGGATAAAAGATTGCTTTAAAAGTTCGTTAATTATGAAAATAATTAGTACGTATAACTTTAAGTTTAGATACATACACCAAAGTATGTACGTTTTTGTCCTATGTGCAAGACCTACCTCTAAATATTAAATAATCCATTAGTTTAATTAGTTTTGTTCAACTATGTCTCCTAGGTTTTTCGTCAACTCATTCATGATTCATATTATTTCCAATTTACTTTGGAACCTACGTATTAGTTTTAGAAAAAAAATGTTTACCTTATGATTTGCCCTATTCGAACGAATACTAACATGGAAGTAAATACAGATTGTAATCAACCTTAGTCGCAGGGCTATTTAGGACTAAGATTCTTTTAGTGGTCTCCTTTACAAACGTTAAATAGAACTCTAATTGAACTCAAAGTCAAGATATCAGGCAAAAGTTTGGGTTATTCCAATTTTTTATCCATATGAATAGTATTTTAAAGTATATATATAATATATATATATATATATATATATATATATATATATAATCACCTCCTACCCTTAAGCCATAAAATAAGTTTTGTATTATTTTCTCTCTCATATCTCCTCAAATTTCTCCTATCCCCTACCCCATATTTATTCTCCCTCTCTCTCTGCTTCCCAATGTCTTCTCCTCCGCCGGCCGCTGGCATTGGTATTTTACATTGAAATTCAAGTTTAGATTTGTGCAAGTATACTACAATGGTAGGTAAGAACTTCTTTATCCCAATTGATTAAATGATTGCGTGCTAAACATACGAGTGTATTTTAGGAGTATGTAGACCAAAATAGATGCCGAGTACTGGCCAAGTCATCATCTTTTTACCGCAGGATATATTCAGAGGTATGCAAACAATCAATTCTGAAGAATAAAGAGTGTTTTTTTATTGCTTTAGTTTGTATTTTGGAATGAATTTAGTTACGTTGATATCATGTTCAGCTTTTGCACTATCAAAGAGAAGCCTTTTAATAGATCATTTTTTTTCCTATTTGTTTTTCAGTAATTGTAGCATGTTCATCTAGAAAAATGTTACGGTGACGGCGAGCGAGGACTGGATACTGATGCTGCTTCAACGAGACGACATTACGGTTGTTCTTGAACAAAGACGACGGAGTTGGGGGCTGAGCAACTTGAATTTTCTGTTAATATATTTCAATGTATCTCGTTGTATTTCATTGTCTTTTTTTTCATTATATTTCAATGTATCTCGCTGTATTCTATGTATTTCATTGTATTCATTGTCTTTTTATCATTGTATTTCGATGTATCCCGCTGTATTCTATGTATTTTATTGTATTCAGTGTCTCGCTATATTCCATGAATATATTCATATGTTTTTTTTAATTAATATAATTTATGTATTCAGATGTATTATATAATTTCTCTCAAGATTGCTATGTTTTTGGGGTGTTTTTCGGTTGAGAATTTTTTTTAATAAATGGAAATACAAAATTTGTGTGTTATAATTGAGTTTGTTGAGTTAAATTAGGAGTCTATTATGTTAATTGATTCACTTTCCGTTTAAAAACTGTATAATCCCCTGTTTCACGCCGTGAATACAGTCGAATACAATAATCTGTCCAGCTGTAATCCCATGTTTCACGCTATGAATATAGTCGAATACACTCGAATACAAAAATCTGTCTAGCTGTAATCCCCTGTTTCACGCCTAGAAATGCTACTGTATTCATGAATACAATAGCTTAAATACACCGAATACACTCTAAAAAAATCTGAAAACATAGCTATAGGAAGTAATATAGTAAATGGTAGCTACAGCTAGCTAATAACCACTAAAACATAGTGGTTTCTGAAAATTTCTTTAAATTTTATGGACAAAATATTACATTTCATACTTTTACTATGTTATTTTTCATTAATATGTACAAGTCTTTATTCTTATTTTGTATTCTGATTATTCTTGATAGTATAATACTCTATTCATACTGTGTTAATTTTTTTACACTCCAATAATTACAAAAAAATTATTTTTTCTAGGTTAATTGTCGGTCTATTCTCTCTCATCTGAATCTTTGGCAAAAATTAAATTTATGGTATGATTAGAGGAGTTTATCTTCTTTTCCTCCATTAACCAGTAAATGGACAAACCCTCGTCTGAGGAACATAAGGGGATCATATGAGAATGTCTCAAACTATTTTATTTCTCTGTTGAACAAAATATGCTCTTAATTATATGCAATGATACTATACACATTTGATTAATATAACTTGGAAAAAAAAAAAACAAGTGAGAAACTCCTGCATTGTACACTGCTAAGAACTTCCATCAATTTTAGAAGCCCCTTTTCCTTGTCTTTTTTTTTCCTTCTAATGTAACTTTTGAGCATCTTACCAGCGGAGTATTTTGACCGTTGTTCATTTTTAAGCTTTTTATAATACTCCAATGTTTTAAACTGGGAAAATAAATTAATTTTACCCTTTACATTTTATCTTTAATATATAATATACTTTACAGTCCCGCAAATATAATGATATTTTTACGATCACAAACTCCAAAAATCTTTTTTCTTTCTTAAACAGGTTCCTATAAAATGAGAAGTAATATTTTTCCCGGCTCATGTTAGTTAACCTTATAGTTGGATTTGATAAAAATTTAAATCATATATATTAAGGGTACCGGAAATAAACAATCTATATTATTATATAAGCATGAATCCAATGACGGTTTACAAAAATAACCTTATAATATTAAGCATAATAACTCATAATAAAGGACATAACCGGAATTCTAGATATTAGCCTTATAATCCTATTAGTTTAGAATATAATACTACAAGCTAGGAATCCTACATGATTACCTTTTAGGAATCCTATTAGTATAATTACTTTCGGGCTGTCTAATTCATATAAAATTGAACAAGTAAATATTTTTAGTCATGTAATCCTATTATTTTTAGGATATACTTCTTAAAAATTTCAATTACTAATTTAATTTGAAAACGTATTATAATGTCCTATTACTAATTTAATTTGAGAATGTATTATATTGTCCAAACCCATTTAGAAAAGGAGAGCTTATATTATTATAAAAGCATAAATATAATACTAATATACCAAATAGCCCTAAAATATTAAGCGGAAGAACTCATAGAGAAAGAAAATAACTACAATAACCTATTTTTTGGACTGCAATACCTTCTATGCTAATTTTTAATATTTAAAATTTTAAAATTAATAAAATTTTATCTATTAAATTCTTATTAAAAATATGTAGGTAGGCTTAATAAAATTAATTTCATAAGAATCCTCCGTATTGGCAATACATTACCACTCCATAATGTCCAATATCAATAAAAAATAAAAATAATATTAAATGGACTGCATAAAGAGTTAAAATTGAGAAGAAAAAAATACCCACAATAATATAATTTTATATTATATTTGAACTATTTTCCTACTCAAATAACATTTTTTAATCAAATTTTTGTGTAATATTAAAAAATACCCAATTATTGAACAACAACTAAGAAAGTATTTAAGAATATAAATGTGTGAGAAAGAGAAAAAAAATGGTTGGTAAGAGTAAATACCACTAATGATTCTACAAACATAACGATCTAAAAGTGAAATGTCATATCAATCTTTTACTCTTTGGAAATAAATATTATGGTGGATAAAATTATAATTAAGATTAAATATTCAAAACAAGAGATGAATTAATATTAAGATATGAATTAACATAGAATAACTTATTTTTTATGTTAAATCAAATAATTAAATCTTTTAATTTAAATTTAGCAAGAGAATCCAATTCAATTATTTTTTAAATTCATCATATGAGTAAAATTCTTATTCAAGTTTTAAAAAAAAATCTTAGGGTACATAAATTTATTCCATAAAAAGAGCGTTAGAACAAAAAGTAAAAAGGTTAGTATATTATTAAGAATCAAAATGCTATACAAGTGTCTAAGGAAGCACAATCAAAGCCAAATTCTAATCTCCTTAACCAGTGGCCTCGAGTTCGAGCCTTGGGTATGGAGTCGTCTTTGTTTTGGAGCGCTTTACCCCCTAGTGTGGGACTTCCCGGCGCGAATCCGGATTAGTCGGGCCCCAATGTGGGTACCAGATACCGGGTGAGAAATCAAAAAAAAAAGAAGCCAAATTCTAATCAAGAATAAGCTTTCAAGATTATATTATAAAGAGACGACTCTGGTATAACGAGATTATTCTTTGTAGATGCCTCCGGCGGAATAGAAATAATATTTCTATGTCAAGCATTACTTGGAAATATCATATCAAGAGGCATGACATTGTTACTAATAATAGCAAGTAGTGTGCCAACAACGATTTTATTATGAGGTCACCCACTTTAGATTTGATATACCTTTTCAAACAACTTAAATAACCATCACAAATATATCAAAGCAGAGCAATGATGCTAAATTTAAAAGGAAAGAAAAATTAATAATATGGGATGAAGCGCTTATGGCTAAGTGTCAAACGATCGAAATAATTGCCCGGAGTTCTAAAGATATATTGGATATTAATGAACCGTTTGGTAGAAAATTAATGGGTTGGGAGGTAATTTTATTATACATAAAATTTCTCTCATTAATTAAATTTTACTATTCTTTTATATAAATAAACATTTTAAATCATCACGTGCCACTATTAACGTGCAACGCACGTTCATAGATACTAGTTTAATAAAATATTATATGCATGTTCGAAGAGTTGTTGCCAACGGCTGGGAAACAACTTCTTATTATTAGTATTTTTAATTTTTTTTTTTTAGTTTTAAAGACTACTGATTCCAGGTAGGCCGCAGGAATCACAAAGGCACCACATAGATCTGGACTGGCCCGACACCCTGATTAGGCCGTCCATGGGGTCCTTAATGGGCTGGTCCAATCAACTTTGGGGAGAAATTCAAAAATAGCCACAATTTCAAAAGTCATCGAAATTTAGACGCTTTTCATGTAAAGATAAATCTGAACGAAAACACTATTCAAAATCCGGAAAATACTTCAGCATAATATACTGGAATCCCAGTATAATATACTAGAATTCCAGTATAATTATACTTGAGTTCCAGCAAAGTATACCGGAACTCCTGTCACGACCCAAAATCCACTAAGGGTCGTGGTGGTGCCGGACACCTCTGTCAGGCCAGCCAACTAAATTATCAGTTAATTCCTCTTTTAATACTTTTGAAAATCTAAGGTTTTTCCTTCCATTTTACATAAATAAAAGATTACTTCTTGAATTCAAATTTAAATAATAACGATTAGTACAAAGTTTGCTGAAACCATCCCAGAAACCCGGTGTCACAAGTACATGAGCAACTACTAATAAGGATATAAAATACAACACAACATCCGTCCGGAATACAATGGACAGAAAGGAAATACAATTACTAGGAAGGGACTTTAAAAGCTGCGGGCCGCCTTGCATACTGCAACTCACCTAGTCCCCGAATCGTCCGTGCTGCTGCGCCCAGTAGGCCGCTAAAGCAACATATACCTGTGCAACAAAAATGCACAGAAGTGTAGTATGAGTACGTAATCAACGTGTACTCAGTGAGTATCCCGCCTAATCCCGAAGGGGTAGAGACGAGATGGTCTACTTGACACTTTCTAGTGGTCCCAATAATGATTCATCTTTAGTTTATATATACTAATCAGTGGATTTATTTTATAACCATGATTTCAATCCAAATAGGAAGAACAAGTGAACAATTAATTCCTTTATAGGAAAAATTTCCAGAATTTCCTTTTTAAATATATTCCGAATATCTTTAAGCCATGAAAGGCAATAATAAGATAATTAAATTCCAGGCAGCAATACCAGCATGCGCAAATCATACTGAGGCGACGACCCGATCCAACAGAAATAAATGTGCACTTGCCGAGGGTCGACAACGCACCTATAGATGCATCTATTAATGCGCCGAGGCGTTCGGCCCATTCCAAAATAAACATACACAGACAAACAGTCAGTCATGAAGTCCACATAGAGCAATTATCCATGGAAGGCCAATTCTCTTTAATAATTTGAGAAAACAAAGCTTAAGTCTTTTGGAAATCCAGTTATTAATTTAATGTGATTTAAGCAAGTCAAGCCATCAATGGGTTCACAATTAATCCAAATATAACATGCTTTTGGGTCCTAGACTACCCGGACAATAGTATAATA